TTTCAATTTTGCTGTGAACCTAACACTGCTCTAGAAAAATAAAATCTTTTTAAAAAATATTTTAAAATATCTCTATGTGGGGTGCCTGGGCGGCTCAGTCAGTTAAGTATCTGCCTTTGGGCTCAAGTCATGATCTCAGGGTCCTGGGATCAAGCCCTGCATTGGTCTCCTTGCTCAGCAGGGAGTCCACTTCTCCCTCTCTCTCTACCCCCATCCTGTTTGTGCTCTCTCCCATGCACACGCTCTCTCACTCTCTTGTTCTCTCTCTCTCTCTCTCTCTCTAAAATAAAAAAAATCTTCTAAAACACTAAATAAATAAAATAAATATCTCTACTTTATATCTTCATCTCAATTCCTTCAGATGAAACTGTTCAGGTTTATAAAGTATTGCAATTTCACTTCTCAACAGGAAGTATATGCATGTAAATATATTTAAGTTTTTATTTATTTATTTAAATAATCTCCACACTCAATGTGGGGCTTGAACTCAGGACCTTGAGATCAAGAGTTGCATACTCTTCTGACTGAACCAGCCACACATGCCTATATATAAATCTTTTACTTGCTTATGGTGGTATATTTTTAAACAATGAAAAAGTTAACCTACTTTCCCCCATCCGTATGTTTTACACCAAAAGATGTCTTCTTGGGGATCACTGGGTGGCTCAGTGGTTTAGCACCTGCTTTCAGCCCAGGGCGTGATCCTGGAGTCCCGGGATCGAGTCCCACATCGGGCTCCCTGCATGGAGCCTGCTTCTCCCTCTGCCTGTATCTCTGCCTCTCTCTGTGTGTCTCTCATGAATAAATAAATAAAATCTTAAAAAATAAAAAAAGTAGCACCATAAAATTTTTTAAAATAAATGACACTATCCTCATTTTAAAAATTAAATGGCGGGATCCCTGGGTGGCTCAGTGGTTTAGCGCCTCCCTTTGGTCCAGGGCGTGATCCTAGAGTCCTGGTATCGAGTCCCACATCAGGTTCCCTGCATGGAGCCTGCTTCTTCCTCTGCCTGTGTCTCTGCCTCTCTCTCTCTGTATCTCTCATGAACAAATAATAAAATCTTTAAATAAATAAATAAATAAATAAATAAATAAATAAATAAATAAATAAATAAATTAATATTAAAATTAAATGGCATATAAAAACTATGTGTTATAGATATATGTAGGATGAATAATTATCTCATTTTGCCTTGGACTATGGGATTTCTAGGACATGGGACTTTTATCAGTAAAGCTGGGAGAATCTTGGAGCTCCTGCGTAGCTTAGTCAGTTCAGCATCTGCCTTTGGCTAAGATCATGATCCCAGAATCTTGGGATCAGGCCCCACATTGGGCTCCTGCTCAGTGGGGAGTCTCCTTCTCCCTCTGCCCCTTCCGCTGCTCATGCTTGTGTTTTCTTGCTCTCTTGAGAGAAGAGCCAAAAAACTAAATAACTAAATAACTAAAACCAGGTATGAGTGGGAACATTACAACCAACTTACAGAAATAAAAAGGGTTATATGACATTTCTATGCACAACTGTATACCAATAAATTACATAACCTAGATGAAACAAATTCCTAGAACCCACAAATAAAGTAACTTAAGAAAATAAAAAATAGGGACACCTGGATGGCTCAGTCGGTTAAGTGTCTGTCCTTGACTCAGGTTATAATCCCAGAGTCCTGGGATCGAGCTCCATGACAGACTCTCTGCTTAGTGGGGAGCCTGTTTCTCCATTTCCCCTGCATGTGCTCTCTTGCTCTCTCTGTCAAATAATAAAATATTTAAAAAGGAAAATAAAAAATAGCAACAGACCTCTAACAAGTTAACACTGAACCAGCAATAAAAAACAAAGTCTATAACCAGATGCCTTCACTGTGAATTCTAGCAAACATTTAAAGAAGAATTAACACAATTCTTCACCAACTCTTCCAAAAAATAAAAGAACACTTCCTAACTCAATGAGGCCAGTATTAGCCTGATACAAACACTTATGAAAATCATAAGTAAATTACAGTATCTCTTATGAATACAGATGTAATCAAAGTACAATTAAACCAAAAACAACAGCCTATATAAAAGGATTATAAACCATGACAAAGTGGAATTTATCCCAGAAATGCAAGAGTGGTTCAATATAACAATATCAATAATGTAATTTACTACATTAACAGAACCAAGGAGAAAAACCATATGATCATCTTAATCGATATCAAAAAGGTATATAACAGAGTAAAAAAAAAAAAAGAGTACAACAAACTTTCATGAAAAAAACACTCAAAAAATTACAAATAGAAAGATCTTCAAGATGATAAAGATTATTTACGAAAACCCCACAGATAACATTATTCTCAATGATGAAAAATGGAAAAAAGCTTTCTATTTAAGATCCAGAACAAGGATGCTCACTTTCATCACTGCCATCAAAGTTCTAATTAGAGCAAACATAATAAAAACAAATAAAAAGCATCCAAATTAGAGAGGAAGAAATAAAACAATTTTTTATACTTTTTTTTTTAAAGGTTAATCTTTTTTTTTTCTTTGAGGGAGACAAAGAGAGAGAGGGAGCACACAGAGGGAGAGCAAGAGGGAGAAGCAGACTTCTTGCTGAGCAGAGTGCCTGACGTGGGGCTTGAGCTTATCAGGACCCTGAGGTCATGACCTGAGCCAGAGGTAGACACTTAACCAATTGAGCCACCCAGGTGCCCCAAGTGACATGATCTTATATACAGAATTCCAAAGTATCCACATGAAAGATACTAGAGCTAATAAATTTAGCAAAACTAGAGTAAATATCAATGCACATAAATCACTTGTTTCTATATACCAGAAATGAACAATCTCTTCAAGAGGGAATTTAAAAAGTAATTCCATTTACAATAGCAGCTAAAATAACATACTAATGACTAAATTTAAGCAATGAAATACAACTGTACACTGAAAACTATAAAACATTGCTGACAAAATTAAAGACCTAAATAAAAGTTTAGAAGAACATCTTGTGTTCACAGATAGTTAAGACTTAGTATTAGTAAGATGCCATACTACCAAGCATAATCTATGGATTTAAATAATCCCTAACAAAGTTCCAACAGCAGGAAGGGAAAAGCAGATTCCCAAATCTATATGGAATTCCAAGGACCCCCACATAGCTAAAACTATCCTTAAAAAGATTAATAAAGTTATCCCTGATCTCAAACTTACTACAAAGCTACAGTAATCAAAACAGTATTATACTAACATAAAGATGGATATGTCAACAAATGGAAAAGAACTGAGAGTTCAGAAGTAAACCCATACAATATGGTCAATTGATTCCACAAAGATGTTAAGATAATTCAACAGGGAAAGAATAGTCTCTTCAATAGAGAGCACTGGAACAACTGAATTTCCACATACAAAAGAATGAAATTGGACCTTTACCCCATTAATATATGCAAAAATTAACTCAAAGTGAATCAATGACCTGTAAATAAGAGCTAAGAGCATAAAACCCTTAAAAGAAAACAAAAGTAAATCTTCATGACCTTCAATTTGGCAATGGATTCTTAGACATAACACCTAGAGCATAAGTAACAATGACCAAAAATAGACCAATTGGATTTAATCCAAATTTAAAACTTTTGTACATCAAAGGACATTATCAAAAAAGTGAAAAGATAAACTACAGAACAGGAGAAAATATTTGCAATTCATGTATCTGGTTAAGGATTTAATATTCAGAATACGTAAAGAACCCTTACAACTCCACAACAAAAAGATAACCCAAATTTTAAAATGGGCAAACTATTTGAATAGACATTTCTCCAAAGAAGATATACAAATGACTAATAAACACATGAAAAGATGCTGAACATTTTTAGTAATAGGAAAATACAAATCAAAACATCAAGTTACTACTTCACAACGAGTAGGATGGCTATAATCAAAATAATAAAAAATAACAGGCATTTGTGAGGATATGGAATAATCCAAATTCTGGTAAATTGATGATGGGAATGGAAACAGGGTACAAGCACTATGGTACAGTTTGTCAGTTCCTCAAAAAGTTAAACCTAAAATCACAATGTGATCTAGTATTTTTCACTCCTAGGTACACACTCAAATTTGAAAACAGTGACTGAAACAGATATTTGTACACCAGTGTTCATTATAGCATTTATTCACAAGTCAAAAGGTGGACACAATCTAGTGTCCATCAACAAATGAATGGATAAACAAACCATGGTATATTTATACAATGGGGTATTATTCAGCTATAAAAAGGAATGAAGTACTGATACATGCTACAGCATGGTTGACCTGTGAGGTGTTAAGCTATACAGTATCCTAAGTGATATAAGCTAGTCACAAAAGTACAAATATTGTATGATTCCATTCATATGAAATATCTACAATAGGCAAATTCATAGAAAAAAGTAGATCAGAGATTAGGTAGAGGGAGAAGAAGTTATTGCAAATAAATACAGAGCTTATTGTTTGGGGTGATAAAAAAAAGTTTTGAAAATAGTGGTAATGGTTGTACAACATTGTGAGCGTAATTAACACCACAAATTGTACACTTAAAAATAATTAAAATGGTAAATTTGAGGATTCTTTTAGCACAACACACACACATATACACACAAGAAAAAAGACTTTGGTACATAGCTTCTGTCAAACAATAATCCTAGAATTCCACAACACTAAAATTGACTATGTATGAGACTTTACAGAAGTCAGTGTTCTATAAAAATTTAATTCTATAGTAATGCAAGTCATTAGACTCCTCAAACTACTGTGCTAAAATGCCAAACCACATGTAAGTTAAAGCAAAATAAAATTCTTTCCCATTTTTTCAATAATCCAAGAAGCTCAATAAATAAAACTATCTACTTTCATATTATATACATACATCTATGCAAGTGATTATAAAACGGACTACTGCCTATGTTTCTTTATATTATTGTTTTTTACTCGCCAGGACTAAATATTAAGTAAAAGCTGGTCACTGACATTAAGCCTTTAACACTTACAAAATACACTGCTCCAAAGCTTCCATGGCCAATTTCTCTGAGATCTGTGAAGAGCTTCTCTGGATCTTCTTTGAAGAAGAGCTCTGCAATTTCAGGGTCCTTCAGGCTGCCCGCTCGGTTAGTTGATGGCATCCTGCTGGGCAATCAGTTCTCTGATTCTAATTTTATACTGCTATCCCAATCCTTGGTTCATCTGTATGAATGAAGCCACACTGGCATAAACTACTGTAGAGAAATAAAAAAAGAAAAAAGTCAGGAAAAGCAAAAGCTACTAAGAATAATTAGTATAAGATCATTTTCTGACAGCATATACAAAATTATCTCAGGTCTAGATTTTCACTGAGAAGGAAGTATGGTCTACTAGTATAGTAGTTCCTCATCTGGCTCATGATCACAATTACCTGTGGTACTTTAAAAAAAAAAAGATTCTTAAAATCCATAGTATACAAGTAAATAGTGTATGTATACTTTAAAAAGTAAACAAATCTTTATATCGTAGAAGCCTTTCTGTGTCAATACTTCAAGATTTACCTAATCCAGATACAGCGCACGCATCAGGAGAGGTAACACATAGCTATCAAAAATCTGCATTAACAACTTAAGATGTACCAATAGTATGTCTTTGACACCAGGAAGATTCTCATCTATTAATGATATTCAAATATAAGAAAATACACAAAAGATTTAATTCAGTAAGTTATGTTTCTTTTCCTTTCAGATACCATTTGCCAGTATTTAATCAACTCTAATACAGACAGTCCAAAGAAAACTACAATGGAAGAAGTAATGATTTTCACACAGACAACTGTTTCCCCATAAACCTGATTCACATTAAAATATGGCCTTTATCAAATCTGCATCATTAGATAAGTAGATACTACAGATAACCAGTAAACTCCCTGGTGTTCTGGTATCAGTTCCTTTATATCAGATTACTCGTTTTTAAAAATAGCTGTCGTAACTGAGAGGCTTTAGAACTTGGGTTCTGGAATAAACTGCCTGGACATGAATCCTGGCAACACTATTTACAAACTGTGAGCTCAGGTAGCCTCATTTTCCTAATCTGTACAATGAAAATAATCTATTTTCAAAAATGGGCTAGCACACTCCAGAAAATAAGAGAAATAAATAATGGGGGAACTGAACATTTACACTATCTAATACTAAAAGATAACTATGGCATCATTAGAATACTTAAAAATAGGACAAGCAACACACTCAAGTATGGCTGTCTTGGAATTTAGCATACAACAAAAGGAGAAAAAAATAAATGTTGAGAAAATTGAGAATCCATTTAGAAAAAGAAATATAGGGCAGCCCAGGTGGCTCAGCAGTTTAGCACCACCTTCAGCCCAGGGCGTGATCCTGGAGACCCGGGATTGAGTCCCGCGTCGAGCTCCCCGCATGGAGCCTGCTTCTCCCTCTGTCTGTGTCTCTGCCTCTCTCTCTCTCTCATGAATAAATAAATAAAATCTTAAAAAATACATATATAAAAATTATTACACTCACATATCTTATATAAACATTACTGCTAAGTGGCTTCAGAGGCATCCCAAATAAAGAGGAAAAACCGACTAAGTGATGTTTGGACACTCCAATAACTATTTGGCAAAAAATAAAATGAGAACTATTCCTCAAAATGAACACCATAATTACATATGGGTCAGAAATACAAATTTAAAAAATGAAACTGGGTGACTGGCTGGGTCATTCAGAAGAGCATGTGATTCTTGATCTTGGAGTCATGAGTTCGAGCCCTTCACTGGGTGTGGAAATTACTTAAATAAGATTTTAAGGAACACCTGGGTGGCTCAGTGGTTGGGCATTTGTCTTCAACTCAGGGCGTAATCCTGGAGTCCCGGGATTGAGTCCTGCATCAGGCTCCCTGCATGAAATCTGCTTCTCCCTCTGCCTGTTTCTCTGCCTCTCTTTCTCTCTCTCTCTCTCTCTCTCTCATGAATAAATAAATCTTTAAAAAATAAATAAATAAAATAAAATTTAAAAAGTGAAACTACAAATAAAAGAAGTTCCTCCATAATCAGGGATAGAAGAAACTTTATGACCCAAATCCAAAACAATAATAACAAAGAATGATACATATTTAACAATATTAAAAAAAAAAAAAAAACTTGGAAAGAGTGGTCATGAAAAAAGACACTCCAAACAAAAAGAAAGAGAAAAAAAAAAAAAAAGATAAACTTGGGGAAAAAAAGCTTGAAACTTAGGTTTACAAAGGGTTAATAACACTAATATATAGAGTTAAAAAAAAAGGAAAGAAAAAAACCAAGAATCTGATATCCTTAATATCCAAAAGTTTCCAAAAAACAGCAGAGAAAAAATACAGCAGGTATGTGAGTTCACAGAAAAAAAATTATACTTGAATTAAATTAAAAACTTTAAAAAATTAAATGGCTTAAATCTGAACAACCATTACTGCAGCCCTGGTGGCTCAGCGGTTTAGCGCTGCCTTCTGCCCAGGGCATGATCCTGGAGACCCGGGATCTAGTCCCACGTCGGGCTCCCTGCATGGAGCCTGCTTCTCCCTCTGCCTGTGTCTCTGCTTCTCTCTCTCTCTCTCTCTCTCTCTCTATCTTTCATGAATAAATAAAATCTTTAAAAAATAAAATAAACTATTAAATATACGAAAATATGTTCCAAATCACTTCAAGTAAGAGAACTATAAATTAAAACTATACTAAGATTTCATTTGTACCTATCAGAAACGCAAAAATTCACCACATGCTGATGGTACGGTAGAAGGGAAATATGTATGCACTCATCCATTAATAGCGGTAATGATAAAACAGTGCAAACCCTAAGGAGAAAAATCTAGCCAAAACATATATGCACTTATCATTTCACACAAAAATACCACTTTAAGGAATCCATGCCAAAGATACTTACAGAGAATATAAGAAATGATAAAGGCACAAGGTCAGAACTGGAAATCATTATATTGCTAATGGGAGTATAAAACTGTACAACCATTTTGGAAAACTGGTTAGCAGATGCTTATCAAGAAAAATAAATATTTACTATATGAAGGAGCAATTCCTGAACTAGTCATTTATTCAAAGAAAAGAAAACACAGGTACACAAAAACTTGCACATAATAGTTTTATTCATAACAGTCCAAAACTGCAAATACAAATGTCTCTCAACAAGTAAATGTATAATAGAATTGTGGCATATTTACACAATGAAATACTATTCACAGCAATAAACAGGAATAAACTACTGACACATGAAGAAACACAAATGAATATCAAAAACATTCCGTTCACTCAGCAAAAGAAGCCAAAAACAAAAGAGTACGTACTTAATGATTCCCCTGATAAATTCTCATATAGGCAAAATTAGTCTAAAGTAATATATCCAATGTTACTTGGATGGGTACTTGTTAGGGTGGGTATGGAGGACAAAAGGGCCCAAAGGAGTTTCTAGGGATGACAGAATACTAGTGTATACACTTGTATTATGTACTATATTATGTTATTCAGTTGTAAAACTCTAATTGAACACTTAAAATGGATGCATTTCACTATGTGTAAATTATACTTCAATTAACAACTTTAAAAAATTAAATGGCTTAAATCTAAGTACAATATACACATGTATAAAAATCTTTTTTTTTCACATGTATAAAAATCTAAGTACCATATACACACTCTCTTACGTGTGCACTCTCTATATAGTGCAAATTTATGAACAAGGTATAGAAGGATACATACTGAAATATTAATATTTTCTTGGATAAAGCAGAACCATAAAAAGCATTATTGCTGGCCTACACATCTGTATTATCTGAATTTTTATAGCAATTGCTTTTATAATTTTAAGAAATTTACATTGCATTTTAAATTTGAGAAAAATAAAATAGAACATTTTTAGAACTAGAAGAATACATACTCTGACTAGGGAGAACATCCAAAAAAGGCTATTAGCATTTTTTTTTTAATTCACAAAGGACTAATGCATTTTACAATTTTGTATGTCAAAAAAATTTGAGTCAATCACAAAAACTGAAACATTCAGAGCAAACACAATTAAGGATGCATATTCCTTAAATATATAAATATAATTCAAATCACTAGAAAGTAGCTAACTCATCAACATATAAATAAACGGCCAAAGGATATACATCAGCATCCCATAAACAGGTAATATAAATTACTGGCGAGAGAAGTTAAAACTTGATGGGTACAGCCATGAGTTTAAGATTATATTTCCCTCCTTTAATTCCTGGCTTTGACTTCTTATAGCCTGAATTACAGAACTATGTTCAGGGTGCTGCCAAGAAAACCCTTGAAGAAATCAAATCCCCTCTTTCCATCCAAAGGACCAGAAAAAGGAGATCTAAAGACTGGCAGGGGGAAAGCCATTATTTTCTCTTTTGTCTCCTCAGTCACAGAACTGCACTGCCCTAGGAACAGAAAAACAAACAACAACAACAACAAAACATAAGAAAGCCTATCTCTTTGGCCAGAAAAATTGGAAAACAGGGCCCTTGTTGACCCAAAAAGTATAAAGGGGATTCCCATTATTTTCTTAAACTCCTCTTTTCTTTCCCCACTTCACTTAAGGGTAGCCCCATTATGAAGACTTGTACAAAGCACAGGTCTTAATGCTCAGGGAAAAACTTGTCTTTCTGATCAGAACAGGGAAATAGCCACTGAAAACTGAAGAGTACGGAGGAAAATCGTGGACAAGAGAGAGATGGAAAAGAGATCCCTAATTCTTTTCTTTTGGAATAAGCCAAAACAAATACTGATTTGCACTTGTGTAGACTCAAGTGAAATGAAAGCTACATAAAGACAATTAATCTATAATATAAACCACTGCCAAGTTTCATACTATCACTGAAAGGCATAGCTTGGGGCAAATCCAAAGAGCACAGCAAAGGTTTTGAAAATAGAACTGAGGGATGCCTGGTTGGCTCAGTGGTTGAGTCTGCCTTCGGCTCAGGTAGTGATCCTGGGGTCCTGGGATCGAGTTCTGCATCAGGCTCCCTGCAGGGGGCCTGCTTCCCCCTCTGCCTATGTCTCTGTGTCTCTCATGAATAAATTTCTTAAAATCTTAAAAAAAAAAAAAAAAAAGAAAACAGAATTGATACTGGAACCACCACCTACAGAAAGTGAGATAGAACTTCCCATTTAAACCAGTTGGTGTCTACTGAAAATAAAAACAAATCAACATTCTCTAGAGCATATTAATAGGACTCAGAA